TTTGAGTGAGGGTGGGAGAGCACTGCTGACACTGTAGTATTTTTGTTGTTTAAATGAGCCTGGATGCTAAACCAGAAGATCTTTAGAATTAAAATAGCCTGGACATTATAGCGGGTGGGTGTGTCCGTATTAACACTGCTGTGGTAGCTGCCTAGATAAGAGTCCCAGTACAAGACAACCATGTGAATGTCAAGATAGTGYATTTACCTCTTCCCTTCCCCCAGCAAAGTACTCAAGTAGAGGGCAAGTTGAGTGTGTTGCCTCTGAGCTTCCCCTCTGCTCATAAAGCCCTGTGTGTATATATGAAATCTGCTTATTATTTTGCTATAATATTATATATTATAGCATATTTTATATGCTATATGATATATTATGATTTATCATATTTTATATGCTATAATATATGATATATATATGATATATCATATATATCATATATATCATATATATATGAGGTCAAAAGCAAATTTTCAGATTTAGAGTCTCACAGGTGTTCAGGATTACACTAGTAATTCTGGATCACTCAAAATTAGATAGGTTTCTGGAGGAGGTTAATGGTGAAGAATGGCATTAAAATATTAATATAAATGCAAATGTAATTATAAGGACCAATATGTTTGTGGAAAATATTGTTCACATAAATTTTCTTAGCTGGATTTGCAATAGCACAGCCCCATTTGTGCATGATAGGCCTCTAAAAAAATATGCTGCCACCAAAACACCAAACGCCCACTTGACTAGCATGATTGCATTTTATTCAGCTCTTTTTTACTCAGATTGTTCTTCTGTCCTCTACAGTCTAACGTGTAAGTAGCAAAGCGCCTCCCTGCCCCCAGCTTCAGGTACAGGACCCTTGTGGCATAACTCATAGCCATGAGAGTAGCAGCAATCATGCTGATCACACGATGCTGGAAAAAAAATATTTGAGTGTCTTAACTCTCTTTCCTTTTTCAGTTCTGGGAGGTGATAGGTGACGAACATGGAATTGACATCGAGGGAAATTACCGTGGGGCTGCACCACTGCAGCTTGAACGAATTAACGTGTACTTCAACGAGGCTTACTGTAAGTGCTCAGCACTGGTAGGGTGTTGTTAGAGCAATTTACAAAACCATCATGCAGGTTAAATTAGGAACAAAAGTTTAAGTAAATAATTAAATAAATAGCTCCCAAACCCCTGTGGATAGGGGATTTCAGAGTAGGTTACAGCAGGTCTCTTTGACTTTCAGCAGTACTTGTTCATATTGACTTTCAGGCTTCAGAAAAAACACTTCAATAGCCCAACCCCATTCTTAAACAAAGCAAAATCTCTGAAATCTGTACCTTTCTTTTCCTTCGGTAATTCTGCAGGAGTGAGCCAGTTGTCCTTGACCTGAGTTTTGTTTGCATTGCTTGGAAGTTTACTTGTGGCACAAGCTGAACTCCTGCCTGTTTTATAAGATCATTGAAGAGGATCTGATTTATTTCCAGCTTAGGTTTTAGTCATTCTRTATACCACTGTGTGAAATAAGGAGAAATACCTTCAAGTACCTAGACTGAGGTGAAGCAAGGGGGATATATTTTGCTAATACAGCCAGTAACTTGTACGCATTTTTCTTTTGTTCTAGCTCATAAATACGTGCCCCGTTCCATCTTGGTGGATCTAGAACCTGGAACTATGGACAGTGTACGATCTAGCAAAATAGGCCCATTATTTCGACCTGACAATTTTATTCATGGTATGTATGCTATGTTAGTAAACTAGCTAAGGCCAGCAGGCTCAAAGTGGCTTTTTAACATCATCTTTATGGCCTTTAAAAAATTAGTCTCGGTAATATCATTTTCTGTTTAGGAAACTCTGGTGCTGGCAACAACTGGGCTAAGGGGCATTACACAGAAGGAGCTGAACTGATTGAAAATGTCATGGACGTGGTGAGAAACGAGTGTGAGAGCTGTGATTGYTTGCAGGGGTTTCAGCTTATCCACTCACTTGGTGGTGGTACAGGCTCAGGTATGGGCACACTCCTTATCAACAAAATCAGAGAGGAGTATCCCGACAGGATTATGAACACCTTCAGCGTTGTGCCTTCACCCAAAGTATCTGACACAGTTGTAGAGCCATATAACGCCATCCTCTCCATCCATCAGCTAATAGAAAACACAGATGAAACCTTTTGCATTGATAATGAAGCTCTATAYGACATATGTTTTAGAACTTTAAAGCTCACCAATCCCACCTACGGTGACCTCAACCACTTAGTGTCCCTAACAATGAGTGGGGTCACAACCTCACTCCGTTTTCCRGGTCAGCTGAATGCAGATCTGAGGAAGCTGGCTGTTAACATGGTGCCTTTTCCACGCCTGCATTTTTTCATGCCTGGCTTTGCTCCRCTGACAGCTCGAGGTAGTCAACAGTATAGAGCCCTGTCAGTTCCAGAGCTCACTCAACAGATGTTTGATGCTCGCAACATGATGGCAGCCTGTGACCCTCGCCACGGACGTTACTTGACCGTGGCATGCATCTTCAGAGGCCGAATGTCTACCAGAGAAGTGGATGAGCAATTACTGGCTATTCAGACCAAGAATAGTTCTTACTTTGTGGAATGGATCCCTAATAATGTCAAAGTGGCAGTGTGTGACATACCACCACGAGGACTGAAGATGGCAGCCACCTTTATTGGCAATAACACAGCCATTCAGGAGCTCTTCATCAGGGTTTCTGAACAATTCTCAGCTATGTTTAGAAGGAAAGCATTTCTTCACTGGTATACTGGTGAAGGCATGGATGAAATGGAGTTTTCTGAAGCAGAAGGTAACACCAATGACCTTGTGTCCGAGTACCAGCAGTACCAGGATGCCACAGCAGACGTTGAGGAATATGAAGAGGTAGAAGTGGAAGCTAGCCAAGAACAGGAAACACTATAGAAACAGTAATCTAAAAACATTGCCCTAATAAGCCCATGGACACTTCAAGAGCAATAGCCTTCCTTTCCTTTGCCCACCCAAAGGACCATCTTTGTTAAGAGTTTTTTAATCTGTTTCAGGCACAACTGTATCCAGTATCACAACATAATGCTTTTGAAGTAACAGCAGCTATGCTTAACAGTCCTAGATAACGCTATCTTCACCTCTCAAAAAAAAAAAAAAAAAAAAAAAAAAAAAAAAAAAAAAAACCATTGCAAAGAAAAGTTGTTTCCTAACAGTCTGTCTTATTAATATATTCACTTTTGGAACATATAGCCAGACACACATAATATACAGCCTATGTGTGCATCATCATAAGCAGCAGTAAAATAGGCTATAGGCTCTTGTCACAATTAYTTATTCTCTCATAACTCAATAAGTAAACACAATTCATATTTTTATTTGTGAACCTGTTAGTGCTTTAGGTACACCTGCATATGTATATCCTGCATACAAAGGTGGAATCTGTTATATTATACACTCCATAGTCCTATGTACATCTGCAGATAAGTTCAGTGTCTTAAGCAGGGCTTTCATCAGTAGAGATCAATTAGGCACCTTAATTTTTACTTTTTAAGGAAGTATTTAAGTAGTACTATTACACTGCTGTTTTATAATTGCAGAGCTTGTATTCAGTGGCATCGTGTGGTTTGTTTTTATTTCAAACTATAGACTGAGTTACACTAACATTCAAAATTGTGTACACTATAGAAGATTTGTGGCGTTTTTTTTTTCTTCCAAATACTAACTATAACAACCTCTCTGCCTTTCCTGCAGTACAGCAAAATGGATGAAATGGGTTGCATTTAGTTAGAGATGCAAATTCAATAACTACTAACTCAAAAACGTATCTTGATGTCAGGGAAGAGTTTTTTGTCAACTACAGAAATGTTCACAGCCATATACTTAGCATTATTATTTAAAATATTGTGTCATTTTAAAAATATTTCATGTATAAAAATATTCTATGAAATAAATGTCCGCTTATTTTTATATACTATTTTTATGCTCCTGAGTTATTTTAAATATATCAATGTTTTTGAGTACCTGTTTTGAATATACTACCTCAATTAAGATGCAAAACAACATTTACATTTATTAAAGTCAACAAAAAGGGGAAACTCAGGTCACTGGTAGTTTTTGATTCCTCTTTTTTAGTTCCACCCTCCAAGTGTTCAATCTTGACTGTACAGGAGTAATCTGACTGACATCAATGACATCTTTTCAAGTGTATACAATTTAAAAGTAGCTGCAAAAATATAAGTCATCCTTTTACTGTGTCCATGCAGCGCTGAAAAAGTACACAGAAAGCATTTATGAAAATATACAATCATTGCAATATTAAAAGCCAGAGCTGAAACACCACCGGTTATTAATGAATTCTCCATCTGGGCAGCTGCAAAGCTAGCTGGGTTAATGTTGTGAGCATTATGCTAACAGGAGTCTTTCTCCAGATCCAGTGCATCCTCTGCAGCAGTGCAGTATTGCATTTGATATGAAACTGTACAGCAACAAGAACGTGTACAAACCAATACAGCTGAAAAGCACAACTCCCCAGTGCAGAGGATCAAGCGTCCCCTTCCTCTCCCTCTGCTCCCTTGTGAACAGCACGTCTCTCTCCCTCCAAAGAAAATGACAAATCATGAACAAGGACAGACAGGAATTCAGTGAGAGTAAAGCCCAGGGACCACTGTTCTGCACTCTCTTCCCATGCTGTAAAGAAAGCCAAGTCCCCAGATGAATACCGATTCATCACAGCGTGCCAGACAGGTTAGGAGATCGGATCCTGTGCATCACATCCATGGGGAAATACCCTGTTTCCAGTTCAGCCATTTTAAGCTCATGCTTGATCAAACCAATTTTCACTACGGAGCTCTGAGCACATATGGAAGATAAATTCCAAGACTATAGGGAAACTTAAAAACAATCTTTTATCCCTTCCAGCAATAGGACAAAGTTGACAGAAGAATTTTTAATTGCATTGAAATTATGGGCCTATACTCTCTATTGATCACAGATCTTAACAAAGAAAATTCTGCCCAAAGCATGAACCAATCACTGAACTGAAGCAAGCTAAATTTTAAACCACAGTTGAATCTCACCCTCTGTGATATACCTGAAATAGCATTGTGAGCATTAAGTTTTTAAGACAAGATAAAGATCTCTGCAAAATAGAATATCTCATCCGTTTAAAGAACACTTGCCACAGATGCATCTGTTTGTTGAGTGACATTTATTAGGACGCTGATTTACATACACCAGCAAGTTGTACAGTTACTGTGATGATGTTATATTGCAGAGTCTTGAGCTCGCCTATAGCTTTGTAGCTTGCTGTTACAGTATTCACCAGTTCCTACGGGAGAATCAAAGTACAAGTTACTCAATTCAAGAACCAGGAAAACATGCACAAGGTTGGCTCCAAACAGGAGATAATCTCACATAAAGAACAGAGGCTGCTCCACATTTCTGGTACTGCCACCTACTTTATTCAGGGTATCAAATACAATAATTCCTGACCAGGCCTAAACCAATTCTTTAAAAATTCAAAGCAGAGGCCTAATGTGTATTTTACCAGGCACATTAACTGCAGACTTTGAATCAGAGACTCGTTTCATTGTTTTACAGACAACATCATCACTGACAGGCTCACGGGGCCGCACCTGGCAGAGACCCGCACTGCTTTAGCACTACTACTGTGTCCGTAAGCAGGACACCATTAAGGACACACGCCTCATTCCCTACGGCGGGATGATCCCTCACCCCGGGCACGTCTGCCCTTCCCAGTGCGCTATTTCGTGCCTGAGACAGAGTCCTGGGCAAGCCGTAACGGATGCAACGTCACGGGGGGAAACATGAGGAAACGGAGGAGGARAAGGGCTGCTACGAGACGCCCGCGCACTCACCTCCACCTCATTCCTTCTTGGGCTTCACCGTCTTCACGGTGGCSGCGGCCACCCGCTCCGCCTCGGCTTTGTACTGCGGCTTCATGGCTGCCCTGACGACCTGCGCGCAGATCTGCGAGTAGCGGATGTAACTAAAGGCAGGAAGGGAGAAAAACAGCGGTGAGAACCGAACCGAACCGAACCGAACGGCGCCGCGAGGCCCCGCGGCCGCTACCTGAGGCCGGCCTGCCGCCAATAGGCCACCATGGTGCCGCCCGACACCGCCGCGCCGCTCGGCCGCAAGGTCAGCGCGGCGGAAGGGGACGGGCGGCGCCCCCCGCCGCCGGCCAATCCAACAGGCGCGAGCGCTCGCGCCGCCAACCGGAGGACGAGTTACCTCAGGGAGGCTGGCCAATGGCAACTACTCAACGGGCCCCTCCAGGCGCGGTGCAACCAATCAGAGGGCGAAATTCGGCACGCGAGGCCCGCCCGTTGGCTGAGGTGGAGCGCGCGGCCGCGTGTGGAGGCGGCGAGCGACCGCGCTGGGGTCGCGAGATGGCGCAGCCTCTGTGCGCGGCCGCCGAGGAAACCCGGGCTGGCCCTGCCAGCAGCAGCAACAGCAGCAGCAACAGCCGCCGCCGCCCGCTCGGGTGTGCGGCACAGGCACCCCGCATCAGCCCCGGGGGGTTGTGTCCGCTTCCCCCGGCGCTAAATGCCGCTTAGAGAGGCCTCGGTTCTAGCTTGAAGGTAGGGCCACTTGGGGCCTGCCCCGGGCATTGGTGATTCGAGGCTGGTAAGGTATCATAAAAACTGTATTTGCATGAACTACACACTGGACATTTATTTAAGCCTAACTCTTTGCTATGAGGCTGATGGCTACTTATCTGTTAATTAAATTAGTTACATATTAAGTGATTGCTAAATAATTCGGTAATGCTGTTGTAATTAAGAATTTAAGCAAGTACCTGGGGGGAAAAAAAAAAAAAAAAAAAAGACAGAGAACCAGATGCTTGAAGTCTTAAGCCATGTGTGACAAAGCTGTGCCACTTTTCAAATTTATCTCCTAGAGTAAAATGTCTTGGCATGGGATTCTTTTTGATGCAAGAAATACCACTGTTTGCACATGTCTGAAATTATATTAATCATTTGCTCTAAAAAGATGTATTAAAAGAAAAACYGAAAATTGTAGACAATTTTCCATGTGTAAGAACGACAAAAAGCAAAGAGCTATGAGTTGACTTAAATCATGTTTGATAGGCGGCAACAGTCCAAATCTAATGCTCAGTAAATAATTGGGATTTAAGTATCCTTTGGATTAGGTTGACATTACGTGCTTGGTTGTAAGAATGCATACATTGCATTGTAAGAATGCAATTCTCCCACCTATCTTTTCAATTCCAAAGCAGACCACACTACAGAATACAAAAGAATCTTCCAAGATCCATATAGATCGTGAAGGAACCCTGATGAGAGAGGCCTTGTGTTTTCCGACTACTCAGCCATCACCCTAAAAACTAATCAGTCATCGTTACAATTACAGTAAATCTGCCAGTCAGGAATAATCAGTTTTATTACAGATTTCACGTAGTCGTGGACCACTGCAGTTAACTGATACACCATAAGAATGACAGCATAGATCCAGCAGAACCAAAACGAAAATCCTTCACCAAATAAGTAATAGTCTGTCTCCCAGATAACCACATGACAGTAAAAAAAAAAAGATTGCCTATTAATGTAATTACCAGGAACACCAACCAGGAGGGAAGAGTGGGAAGAAGGAATTTTGTGCCCTTACTTCACCTGCTTGATCTCTGTACGGAGATTACTGAAGAAGGTACTAGTTGGTGCCAGTTAGAATGACAGTTTGAAAGTGGACAGTTTAGGACACTAGACTAGACTAGCTCCTTCCATCTGGAGGAAGGAACAATTGGAATGGAAACAATTTCTTWTTCTTTCTAACATCTACTATAGAAGTATACTATACAACTTTGCTCCAAGTGAATTTGGGCTTCATTTCTAAAAGTATTACAGTCATTCCTACTTCATTTTGAGGAAGTAAATGAGACAGCAAGTAATTCCAATTTCATATATTTATTTCCTTATTTAAATTCTGTACAAGCCATTTTTTGTCCTCTTACTTCTGAGACATATGGCCTGTTGAAGCAAAGCTTTCCAGCTTGTAAAAAATGAAACCATTAAAAGGTATTTCTAATGACAGGCATCACTTTCAAGACAGAAATGGTACTGGTGAGGCAATACTGAAACAAAACATATCTAACCTCTGGAAACSCTACTATAACAATGATAAAATGATTCAAGGAAGCACCAAAGACTCAACTACGTTACATATGCAACATATTTGATGTGGCACAACTAACTCTACTATTATATATACACATATATACTGGTAAAGGACATTTTTATACAAATGCTGTTTTTAATGGTAACATCTGATGACTTGGTAGGTAAAATAATTACAAGTAAGATTATTGTAAGCCTTATGGACAGCTGAGACCACAAATACAGCTTACCAGAAAAGAATGATGCTAGCAGTGATGAATACTTATTTCAGCTACATGTCCCTCTGTTCTGCCCCCATCCCTGCCTCTGATCCCTCATTCTACCTGCTCCTTTTCCCCTAGTTGTCTTTCCCACTACATCTTCCCTCTCTGCACCTCTTATCAAGCATCCAATGCCTGCAATTTTGCACAAACCACTCAGAGTTAATTTGAGGTATGCAACCTGGATGCCGTTATTTGCACATTTAGTTCTATTTACTATTTACTGATCTTGAAAGATAAACATTCAGAATTAATTAAAAAGTTAAATCTGCAGAAGAGGTAGCAGGCTGAGACAGAAAGAAAATTAGGTTAGTACCAGCAAATRTGTTCTATAATATTTCCAAAATATATATTGATATCTACACAGCTGTAAACAAGGCACCATTATAGATTTGTATACCCTGTTTTCATGCCCAGTTCTTTTAGATGCTAGGACATGTTTGTGAAGCCCTAAACTTCCTGCAAGTAAGAGCTTTTGGAGACATTTGACACAGAAATTAGAGCACACAAAGGAGTAAGGTTTAGAAAGAAAGGTATAGAGAAGTTGCAGAGGGGAAAATGAGGGTTAGATACAGAGATCAAGAGAAGCTGAAGAGGTGCGGTTAGAAACATCCAGAAATGTAAGAGTGGAGAGGTCAGGGGGGACTAAAGATGTGAGATTAGAAATGTCCAGTGAAACTGAAGCAGGGAGGGATGAAGATTCCTGAAAGGAGATATCGGAGAGATCAGAGACATGCAGAAAGGGTGTAGAGATGAGATTACAGACATCCTCAGAAGTTGTTGAGGATGGCTCAGAGGAGTTCTGAAACATGAAATTGTTAAAATCAGTGACATCTAGTGATTCTGAAGAGGTAGAGGAGGTGCATTCTGAGACATCCAGTGGGGATGGAGGAATTGTACAGGAAAAGTCCAAGGAAGCTGAGGAGGTGTCACTGGAGCCAACCAGGGAGGGTGAGGAAGTGAGGCTGGAGAGGTCTAGAGAAGCTGAAGAAGTGGGACTGGAGAAATCTAGGGAGGGTCCTGAGGTGAGACTTGAGAGATCTAAGGAGACTGAGGAACTGTCGCTGGAGAGGTCCTGAGAGCCTGATGAGGTGAGACTTGATAAATCCAGTGAAATGGAAGAGGTGAAGCTGGAGCGCTCCAAGGAATCTGAAGAGGTGAGGCTGGAAAGCTCTAAGGAGATTGAAGAGGAAATACTGGAGAAGTCTTTAGAGTCTGAAGAGATGAGACTTGAAAGGTCCAGAGAAGATGAAGACGAGAGACTGGAGAACTCCACAGAGGATGAAGAGCTCAAACTGGATAGATCCAAAGAATCTGAAAAGGGAATTTTAAAGAGTTCCAAGGAGGCTGAAGTCTTGACACTGGAGGGGTCCAGGGAGACCAACAAAGTGAGACCAGGTAGGTCTAGGTGGATTGAAGAATGAAGCTGAAAAGCCAAGTAAATCCACAGCATGACTACTGTCTTATTAAATCTTAAGATTTTTTAACTACAGATTTATAACAACACGCAAAAAAAAAAACCCCTTAAATAAAGACATAATGAAAGCAAAGAATATTACAACTGAAAATAACTAAGCACATAACAGGGCTAATATTTTAATCCTTATATCTGTCAAACTTTGTGATTAATTGGAATCATGTAATAAAATGTACTAAAAATAGTCTGATAAAAAATAGGTATGTAATTAAAGAGGAAACGGAGCAGATTATATTTCAGTTCATAAAAGTGYTTCTAATTATAGTATGAGTAGATGAAGAGAGAGATCATTCTTCAGACACCTCTCTAGACTGTACTGCAAAGCAGGGAGTAGTTGAATCCTACTGTTGTCTTTGCAGGCATAGGATTACACACACGATTTTTCAGAGAATCATTCCAAAAGTATCGTATTACCCAAGAAAGTGAAAGATAGACATTTAACTAGAGGCTGCTGATTCTCAGGTGAATGCATTCAAGCTTCGTCTGTTATTACACAACCGATGCCCAGGTGCATGTATAATAGATTTAACATAATCACCATGGGCAGAACTCCCACTGAGGTCACTTCAACTCAAGCAGGTGTCTGCTGAATAGTAGCTGAAATTGCTAAGAATTAATTATGCCTTCCCATAGAAATAGGAAAGCTGGGAGAATTGAGYGTAACACAGAAATTACTAGACTAAGAAAAGTTTTACATTTAAGAGTCTCACTTATTTAAACGTCTCTTTCACTTAGTGAAATGAATTAATGAAATTTCTAGTCTCACTAGAAATAGCTATTGAATACACTTTATTCATAATATATWTATAATTTTAAAGCTCATGCAACATGGTTGTAATTTTATCAAGAGTCTAAAGTTTATAGATCAAAAAGGGAAAACATAAATCTTTCAACATGTGGTAAGATTACAAGCTTGCCTGCTGTCCTGTATTCATAGCAGAATTTAAAATCATTAACCTCAAAAATCCTCTGTTAACATTTTGTGGCTAACTTAGAAAGGTCTCAAATGCACAGTGCAAAGGAACCCAAGCCACTACCTAAACTGTATTATAAAAAAAGCCAATATCAACATGATTTTCAATAATTATAAATTTCATTATCCCTTCACTGTGTTCCTTCTGCCTGAATTTCAAATCGCAGAGATACTGCACATTTTCCTTGAAATAACACAGCCAAAACACATTAAACTATAGCYATTATCATAAAAAAATATAGACACCAGTAATATTGCTTCCTACCTCTGATAGCTGTGGACTTATCTCCTGTCTCTGTCTGCGTAAGCCATACTGGGCTGTGCCGCTAAAGCTCTGCTGTTCTTTCAGTTCATGACCCTAATCTGTTGCACAGCTACTGGAAATCATGCCATGCTGATGACAATACAGTTCATCTCCTKTTAAATACTTCCTGTTTAAGTACAGCACTCACCAGTAAAAGCAACAGCTGCAAACGGGCTCTAAAATCAGTCCTATTTCTAAGAAAAAGGTACAGTTCTGAACTGTTTCCTTTTAAAGGACGTGTTGAAGACTACCTGAAGTTAGCAGATGAAGACATTCATTTTTAACTTCTGGACACCTGGATTCCAAGTAAAAATAATTCTGGCAGTATCATTCAAGTTCTAAGCTGTCCATTCTACAAAATCTGGCACAAAATTTCTCAGGAGGGACCTAGGATCGACAGATCTGAATTCAGATACTTGTAATGTTTAGGAAACCTATGCATCAGGCATTATTTTAATATATTTAATAACCTTTATGTTATCTTTGTTACTTTTCAAGTGTTATGATAAAACAATRTGATAATGTAAAACTTTCTGTTCACATATGATAATAATAGTAGATGAAAGTTTCAAAAACCCAGATGACAGGAAAAAAGCTAAGGACCTCAACATTTTTAAGAGAAAAAGAGAATGGCAAAAAGCCATCTTGTGTTGTACTTCTTATGGTATATGTGTATGTGAAGAGAGAGATAATAGATCTTCATAATTTAAATTAATACTACCATTTCACACATAGTTTTACTGTTATAATAATGCACATTATAATAAAGGGAAAAAAAAAAAAAAAAAACAAAACCTTTTTGCAAAGCATTGACACTAGCTGGGGGCCAACTGTAATTTTACAGACGATGATCCAGTGTCACCTTTACAGGCATTTAATTTTATGGCAATATATATGTGAAAACTATAAAATTGAGARAGAAAAGGCCTCTGCCAGTGAAAGAATAGCCTTCAGCTTGAGGAATGGAAAGATTCCAAAATGACTTGGTGCTTTTACATGAGCTTTAGGTGTTCTTCAGTTCTATAAACTCTTAACTTCAGCAGGATGCTGACCTTTCTCTCAAATGGAGCTGCCAATGGTGGAGGTTGAAGGGCTGCAGGTACTAGGCTTAGGTGCTTAGAGTTTCTGCTTTAAGACTTGTTGGAAATAGACTAGACCATACTATTTAACTTCAGTTACAGACTACAACAGAGAAGATGACAAATCAGCAGTGCTGCAGGAATTCTCAGTTACAGTTTCTTTGAAAAGATGCACAAAATAATGATTAACAATTGTTTTACATTTACAGTTAGTGCCTGTAAAAGCTGAACTGGTGCTGACACCCATTGTCAGCATGAGGAAATACTTCTCAGGTATTTCATTTATAAGTACTTCCTTTTGATTATTGATTAAACGAATACCTGTTATTTTAGCGTGATTTTCACATCACAGTAAGCTTTGCTTTCTTCCATGGTAGCATTTTTTAATCACTTCAGACTGTGAACAGTAATGCTTTTCAGAAGACTAGAATATTAGGCTGCTACCAAACTTACACTGCATAAATCTTACTCCYCTGAAGCTAAAATTTGGATAGAAGCTAGACAACTACAGACCAGCAAGGCAAGGTTAAGTCGCAATGGATGTGTTCTTGGAATGCACACTCATCTACTGCTGTTTCAGCCACACCAAACCTCTTAAAATTCACAACATGAAGGGCAAAGTAAATGTAACTAACAACTAAAAATCTTTACTAAAACTGTATTAAAACAAAATCCCCCTACTGATACCTGATTCTTATATAAAACTTGAAATAATTTTCCAGCGCTTTCTTTCAACTTCCAAAGTAAATCAGGTAAGCGGTTTCATTCAAATTTTCTTCCACAGGCTTGAATTAATGTCCATGGGACTACTTGGGAGGAATATCTATATCCATTACAACCAACAGAGATTACAGGTGTCCACTTTCAAGAGAAGAGGGCATTAAGCTTGCCAGGTCATCGAATTTTCAGCTATTGCAATTTGACYTTTTTAAAAATAGCTTTTCTGGATGCAGCTTGTTTTAAGAAGGAAGTCAGAGCATGTCTCCAGGGAGAACCCCCTTTTTCTTTCCTATTACTTTTTCCCTCCTGCTTTAGATCAGTTTTCTTACTTTCTATGTCCTCTATTTCTACCAAACACACGAAGCCGCAGCTTCCCTGCGCTGGCTCAGGTCATCACTGTTAGCAGTGCAGCTCCCTCTGGCCCCTGCTAGCCCTGCAGCGCATGGCCGGCTTGATACGCTCGTGCAGTGGAGGAACATGCTGGACAGGCACGTACGTGGAGCCCCGGGAGGCACAGCCTTTCCTTTCTCGGTACAGGACAGCAAACACCTCCTACCTGCTGCCCAGTCCATCACCCCACAAATCCGGCAGGCAACATCGCCTATCCTGAGAATTCTTTGTAAGTGGACAAGCTCACACATGTCTGTCCACACCCAACCCTTTTTCTYGTTTGCTATAGGACAGTGTGTGCATGCAGATTTTATGGAGAAAGACACAGTCCTTGGCAGATAATTTTTAGCATAGGAATCTCAGCCCCAGTAGAATGAAARTCTTTCCACAGGATCAAACCGGCTGGGAAATCCAGTATGCTTTACAGTATGCCATATTTGTAAAAAAAGCAGAATTAAGCAAAAGAGACCACAGCAGCTGCAAATGGGTTTATTACCACTGAAAATACGCATTTTAGGATAAACATTTGAGTTTAAAAATAATTTAAAAAGCCACAGCATTTCCTCACCGTCACCTTCATTCTACATTATTCACTCAGCAGTTAGATCCTTTCCCACCCAAATTTATTATGAAGTCTTAGGAACTAGCCAGAACTCARATAAAGTTTTATTTAAAAAGCGCCACATACAGAAAACCATAGTCCCTGACAGAATGAGAATGCAGCCATAAAAAAATAAAATAGAACAAAGAAAATCATGATCTTTCAGGAAGCTATTGGATGCCTGCAAAAATTAAATAGCCTAATTTTTTTTTTCAGTGCAACTTCAAACAGTGAGTTCATACTGTGCAGTCCTTAGTGCAGACAAATTAGGAAAAGAATAAGTTGACTATAATATGCCTAGAACTATGTGATGCTTAAGGCTATACAAATATTAAAAAAAGGCTTCAAGCATTGTGTCTCTTTTTAACAGAAGTGATGGTACAATTTCTTGTTTCACACACATTTTTCTAAGTTGAAATGCAATTGCAGTTGTAATTATGTAAAAGCATGTCAAACCTCTGTGGTTTCAATTTACAAAGGTAAAGTCTCAAACATTTTTTAGAAAAATATTTAAAATAGTTACTTTTTTAAAAAGGTATACATGCACATACCTGTTTTCCCCCTCCCACACAAAAAGTTTTATGGAAGATTGTGTTCCCTTATATTCGTCATTTAAAACAAGCTTTGGTGCTCTGTTTAGCAGACACTGTTCAATAGACAACTCTGCTCTAACAGAAATGGCATGCAAAATAAAATATGGTAGAACAGGTAATGTTACCGTTTTTAAAAGAACAGACTTGATGTTACTTGGAAACTCAAAGTGGAAACTCAAAGTGGAAACTAAGTGGAAAATCAAAATTCCACTTAGAATCAAAATTCCAGGAAGAGCCTCTGGCACCAAAACACAAGATCATGAATTTATTCAGGACTGCCTTTTTCCATTTTTCTCCCCACAATGAAGGAGTCATAATAGGATAGATACCTTCTACTGAAGTCAAGGTGGATACCCTTGGCTACCAGTGGAGTGATAGAGTATGAAATAAGAATTGCGAAGTCTCACCTGTAAGTTCCCACAACTAAGTACCGGAGACAGCACCAATAACCTAGAGCTAGTACCAAGAAACCTATTCAAACTATGCGAAATGTTTTATTCTCAAGGCTTTTGTTTCAAAAGACTTGTTTGTAAGCAAAATAATTTAAAAGATAAACTTCCAAAAACTTGGATTAGAATGCTAGTCAAGATACTATGTTTAATTTAAAGGACAACACAGTATTCAGTTGATGTAACAGGTTGTTTTCAGAGCATGATCATGTTAATAGTTACTTAAACATCGGTTATACTGCTTCCTCTTATATTTAAGTATCTTTTTAGTTACTGAGATTTTTTGTCCTTTAAGTGTTTCTTCTATACTTTAAAGCGAATGCCCGCTTTTCTGAGAAGTCCTAGCAGTTTGCAAGGTATGAATGTTTAGGCTTAGTGTATCCCTTGATTTAATGGGATTTCAGAAAAGGGAGTTATATATCCTACAAGTTCAAATTCTATCTTCGGTTACTGCTTTAAGAGCAGAAATGAGGGCTTAGAAGGTTTGAGACATTTTGCATGTTTTACCTATACTGACTGTAAAACAGTTTGAGTACTAAGTTAGATCAACCAATCAAAYGAGCTTAAAAAGTTTATCAAAAAAAATTTGTACATTCTTTTGTATTTCAATCTTCAAGTAATAAACTTTATGCTCAACCAAGCTTTATCACACAACTGTCAAAAATTAACAAACAGACCAATGCTAGAACAAACCATTTGGGGCTTGGTCCCAAAAGAGGTAGTCCTTGAATGACACAAAAATAAAAATTCCACTGAAGTCAACCTAACATGCCAGTCTCCTCCAACATATGCAGCCTCAGCTCTGTAAGAGTCCTCCATCTTTGAAAACATTTATAAGTTAGTATTCATGTAAATACAGGAACTACACTTGAAAATTATTTCTTCATCTGTAACCAAAGTCCAGTCCAGCAGAACAAATATATTATTTAAGCTTTGCACATCAGCCTCATTAGTAAGATTTTAGCTTTYCTCCAAAAGTAATTTGAAACATACCTAATTCACAGGTATGTCTTTAGAGAAAAAAATAAGWATATTTAAGTTTGGAGAGAAGCACTAGACTGTTAAACCTGCTTAGTAATAAAGGTATATTTACTATCATTTCTCTACAAATGCTGCTGCCGCCATTGAATTCCTCATGGTTCCTCTTGCTGAAGCAGCGAGCTCCTCAATTTCAGCGTTCAGTTTATTAATTACCCATTCCAATGCTTCACGGCCCTATAGTTAAAGAAAAATTTATTAGTATATAAATCCTGACAAATAAGTAAATAGGCTAATCTTGAAAAACTGCTTAGGAAACAGTAGTTGAAAAGAGAATCAAAGGTACAGAAGTACATGTAGTACAAAGTAGTAGTGCTTAAACTTCAAAAACCAGTCCACTACAGTGGTCTGTGCTGCTTTATACRGCTCACGAAGAAATCCCTTTGGAAGAAGCCTTCTGCATGGCTCCTTAGTGTGCGTTCTACCATTCTTGAGGTTGAACTCAAGACATAAAATAGAGGTTTTTATACACTGTCACACTTAACCAGGAGTCACACATTTTACAGAAGAGTCATACTTACTTTATTAGCATTGGAAGAGATTGTGTTTGCCATTAACCCTTCTAGGTAACTACTAAGACTGACACCTTTCACAGATATTATTGCTTCTTGTGTCAAAACAGTTCTGAAATGTAAAGAAGAGTAAAGTGATTTTTTTCTCTGAGTACGTTAAAACACAAAAAAGGAACAGCAAGTACATACCCTGGACAGCACTTAACTGCTTTGTTCACCTMGTCACATGTTCCTAAAATAAAACCCAGATATTCCCGCCAAGTGCAGGCAGGCCCTTGTGGTGCTCAACTATACCCATCTTAGCAATGAAAGTGTAATAARTGAAGCAGTTTTGGATTGAACACGTATCAACAAAACCACTGAATTCCAGAACAGTATTTAGACTTCTTTAATAACAGCGATGTAGTATCTCCCATTGTCATGGGGGAAAAAACCTCTTAAGGAACAATCCTTACAAAGATAATTGAGATATATCACTCATTGCGAGATTACAGACTTGGCAGGCTTGAAAGCTGCCATTTCATCCTCCAAAAATAAGAGTCTGGAGATAGTCAAAAATGCAGATTCAGTGCCCACGTTTATGAAAGGATCACAAATAAGGAGCTTGTAACTGAAGACTATTCTAATCTTAGTTTCAGACGAGACATAAGAAAACGCCCTCAAAATCAGATTTGAACTCCACCATGGTATGACAGTCCTTCCCTCATCGTGCTCTGCAGAAGCAGGGTCACTTAAGAAAAATGACGGACAGAAAAGGTATCACAGCTCAGGTGCTGCTACCCCCACAGCAGAGACCACTGGAATTTGCAAGGCCCAGATCTACTTCAGGGCAGTCTCAGGAAGGACCAGGCCTTACTTACTTATGTGGTTCATGCGGGTGTGGTTTGTAGACAAGCCTCTCATCCACTGATACAAGGTTTGTAAATGAAATCTGTGGAACATAAAAAAAAAAAAAAAAAGCTCTCTCAATAAAAATATTAAAGGAATGAAGGAATGTAATGAAACAACAAAGACAAAATTTACAGTCATAACTGTGACCGATTTAAGCATTTTTCTTGCTAGGACTGGGATTTAGAATATACAAAACATTAATATTTTCATATTCAGCATTTGCTGAACTACTTATTCTTCCTTGAATTTTATGTATTGATCATTTGCCATCATAAACTATTAAGTTTTTAAATCAAAATCTAACAGTAATACTAGACAAACTGTTCATAAAGCAAATTATTACACAAAAGGAAAACGGCTATATGGCCATAYTGTACAGCAAGGGGCTTGTAATTGTTCTAAAAAATGAGAATACTCGTGTTTTAATCATCAGTATACTCATACACTGCACAGCGCTGGCACCAAATTCCAAAAGCCCCAGTAGTTTTTCTGAAAAAATAGAAGTGATGAACAGTACATTTAACTATAAACATGTGACTTATCTTTAACCTGTATTTTCCTACCACAGTTTTCAAGTCATTCTCCACATGATTTCTCTTTTCAAATTTGTAATTCATTACTTAAAATATTCTTGATCTGCACACTATCTGAATAGCACAAACCCGGCTATAGTACTTACATTACTAGATTTAAGCTCCATTGTTTTTTTTACTGGGTCAACGACAGAGTGCTCCTGAACATACGTCCTGGTTCTGCATGTGCCRATGAGCTGCAAGACAGGTGGGGATTACACACTCACACACCAGCATTAATTTTGTTACAGAACTGCCATTTCTTATTGCCTTTAAATGCATAAGTACTGATTATTATATTGAATAAACTTGGAAACAACAGAACTAAGATTTAGTCTAAAACCAAATAATTCAGATAGACTTTTTAAAAAAAGAAAATCTAAAGTATAGTTTATCTGTAACTATCTGGGAGCCACTACATAACCTGTCATTGAGCTTTACTGATAAATAAATGTATTTTGAGACACGTTTTATTACAACAATACACTTCACAAGATTCCTCTCTCCTAAACCTTTTTCAAGCTCTGCAATAAACCACGCACCGATTTCACAATCGAGGGTATCCCCCACTCCGTACTGAGCAGCCGGTGGCTGTGCAGCTTCCCGCTTGGGTCTACGTGTCTGTCCAGAACGTCCACTCCAACCACGCTGGGGTTCATGGGGTTTGGGTATTTCTGCATGGCAGCTGTTGTTACCGTTTCCCAGGGGTGACTGCCAAAACACAATCCGGACACACGCGCAGTTACACACTTAGTGTTTTAACAGGATCGCTACTAAAACTGTGACTGTCACTCTGCTAGCTGTTTATATCTTTGAAGTGTTTTATTTCCACCTATCAACACTCTTAATTTCCCAGGATAAACTACCTACGTTGAGCAGTGGACAGGTGCCAATGGACATGAAGCATACAAGATGCCTGATCACTGGGGACCCCTGCAGTTACCCTCAGTCCTGTAACGCGGTCAGGACGGGCCTGTTCTGCAACACACACCGGTAGATTTCACCTCTGCCTGGCGGCAGCAGCTCTAGGACAAGCAGTAATTCACTAAACTGTTACTTTCCCCTAACAAATACTCCCGAGGGGAGGGTTATTTCTCAGCGGGGGTTTCCGGGGCGCTTCCTGCCCGAGGGCACTCGGTGACCCCGGCCACCTTGCTCAGCCCCGCGCCCCTTGGCACGAGCGGCTCGGCCGGGCCGGCCGCGCTGCCCGGGGCGCTTCCTGCCTCGCCTGCTGGGTGCCCGCTGCCCTCGGGGCGGCMGCCGGGGCCACGAGGCTGGGCAGAGGCGGCGCGTGACTCCGCGGCGTCAAGGACGCGCARCCCCAAGGTCAGCGGAGGCCGCGGGGCCTCGGCCGCCACGGCGGGTAAGGGGGGCCCGTGCTGTGCTGGGAAGGTCCCCGCGGCTCCCGGCCTCCCCGAGAGGCGAGGCCGCGCTCCCGGCGAGCCCCGCGCTCCCGCCCGCGCCGCCCTTACTCGAAAACGTGCTCCGAGGTCCAGATCTTCATGGCGGCGGGGCCGGCGGGGCCAGCCGCCCGCTCCCTCCCGCGCGCCCCACCGGCACCCCGGGCGAGGCGCGGCCGCTGCGCCTGCGCGGCGAGGAGCCGCGGAACGAGCGCAGCCAATCGCCGCGCGGCGACGCCGTGACGTGACGGACGTGCCGTTGAAAGACGCGCAGAGGGCGGTGCAAGGAGCCGCGGGGACTGCGCATGCGCGGGGTCGCGCTGGCCGCGGGGACTGCGCGTGGCGCGGCCGCCCCGCCCCGCCCCCACGGCGCCGGTCTCACCCGGGAGCGCCACTGRGCTGCGTTTTAAAACATTTCGGGTCACGCAAGCCTGACTTTCATAAGATACTAATCCCTTGACAAATACAACCGCTTAGCTGTCGTAAAACTTAACGAGCTACAGCTGAAGTTCATACATTATCTTATCCTAACTTGGCAGCTCAGGAGGGAGCTTCAATGAGCAGGCGCAGGGTTATCTCCCGTACCATCGGCACTGTTTCCTCAACACACAGCGTCTAACCACGGCACAAGGAGGATGTTATTACCTGCAATAAACTGGGTGGCTACATTGCAGTCAGGACAAGCGCGCTGTACCGAGGCAATGATGAAACAAGTGGAGCAGCGAGGTTCACTGGAACCTGCCCTTCTGCTTCTTCCCATCTTTACTTGTTCATCTCTCCATGGATGGAGAGATGCTCCTTGGATCGAAGTGCTCTTGCACTTACACTTTGAAGAAAAAAAAAAAAAAAAAAAAAAAGACATCTTTGTTCCCTTTGTTTCCCTCCACCAGAAATGAACACCGCATCAGGAGCTGAAAGTGCATGTAAAGCATCTACAATTACACTGCGGTCATTTGTATTTTATCTTTTTTGTCGCACTTCATGGAGGCCACCACGTAGTACAAGCAAAATTTAGCCTGCTGAAATGCGTAGCTGGTTTTAGTCTCTGTACAAGCTTTACCTCCTTCCAGTCTCCAGAAGGTTTAGCCTAGGCTAGGAGAGCAGCCTGCTGATTACAAGAAAACAGAAAACCTGGCATCAACATTGACTGCTTTCATGACAACTCAGCTTGATTCTGAGGAGCTGCTGAGGGTTTCTGCTTTGCAAGTCCGATCTCAGGACTTTACTGAGATAAAGCAACTTATTTAATGACTAAGGAAAGGACAGTTTGGAAAGAAACAAAAGGGAAACCAAGGGAACTGCAGAGGAAGGGAAATGGAAAATGGCAGATGCTCAGGCCAAGCTTCTGTGTTGCTCAGGGCAAGGCCAGGGTAGAGCCAGGCTGGGCAAAGCCTGCACCAGCCTCGCCAGTGACAGTGACAGCTCCGTGTAGAGGCTGCCTTAGCACTTACACCCCTCTACAGAGGTTTTAACATCCAGCAACTGAATGGCCTTACATAAAACAGGCCAGCATTACAGTGAGCCCTGGATAACCGCTATTAAACTCTTACATCACTGCTTTGTTTCCAGAGCAAAATGTTACACAATTACCTAGAGATCACCAGAGGGCGCAGCAGCCCTGAGAACTGCACGGAGGAGCCGGCGGATCTGCTGTATTGAAAGATAAATATTATTTAAACGATGGACGAGTAGTCCTACCGCTACCGCCCCCAGGCCAGCTCTCTGGTGTCCTCAGCCAATCTGTTTTGTAAGTTCACTGTCTGGGAGCTATTTTATAACCAAGTTACAAAACAGCCTCTTTAGTTCCATATTAAGAAGCACCTCCTGTTACCAAGAGGCTGTTGAAGGGCTTTTCATCATCTGCTCTCACTAGTTTCTTACATAGGCTTGGAATAAAATATAAGTGATGAGTTTAACTGAAAAACAAAATCAATTATATATATCACAGACAAACACAAAGCACAGAAATTATGCCTCTTCTATCAAGCATTTTCTACAACAGTTCAAGAAAGTTTTAAAGTGCCTTGTGTAGAAATAACCTTTTTTAAAAAAAAAAAAAGTGTAGAACACTCGTAACTGCCCAATAAGGACCTCACTGTCGTGAACAGGTTGGGAGGGAAGGTTCCCCAGAGCAGGTTACTTGGCACAGGGCAGTTCTAGCAGCTGGCCCTGGTGCCAGAAATGCCGGTCAGTCATTTCACCAGGACTCTGGTTTGGTAGGACTGATCCTCAAGGATTCCTGCTGTTCACCCTGGACACCAGGCACACAAGCTACTATTTAGAGGAGCTACTATGTAATAATAAACAAGCTGCCCTACTCAGTTGTATTCAGTGAGAACTGTTAAGAGACTGAAGTTTTGCTGATTAGCCCCATCTTGAGCTTGACTCTTCAACCTCACTATATATTCCTAAACATTAACATACTGATCTAACACAGCATGCAAGGCTCTAGCTAGAAGATTGCAAGTCAGTTCTAAATCCATTGCAGTCTCAATATGCAACCTGTGATATTTGTACTTGAAGAATTTTGCAAAGGATGTAAGACATGCCAAGCAGTTTGGGAGGTCTCAATGTTGTGTTTAGCTAYGGGAGCTGGTGACCCTAGGACAGGCACAGGAGTTGAGCAGACGAGTATTGCTTACTTGTTAGACCATCCACAGCCTTTCAGCAATTTTTCTATGAAAGAAACAGTGACTACTGTAGGCAAGGGAAAACAGAACATCTCCATGCCAGCATCTGGGGCAGATCAGTAGCTAGCTCTTACTGTTCTTGCTTACAAAAAACCCTTCAATTTAACAGGAGTTTTGTTCAAGTAATTTCCACTTTTAGATTTGTGACTATACTCAAAAAGCAAGTGGGAAAAGCTGTGATTACTGATACATGCCAATCTAAATTCTTGTCAAGAGCCAACTGTGTTATTTTGTAATTAAGAACCTTCTGCCTTTAGAATATAATTCATGTCTATATTTGAAAAAATAATTTGAGCAGATCTTCTGCTTCCAAGTAATTTCTAGTTGCTTCTGTATTTGACTGCTATCAAAGGCTGGCTTACTATAAATCTGAGTTTTGTAAGGAGTGTTAAAATTGTTTGTGTCGTCATGTCTATTTCTTTAGTGGGAATTTGATACTACTGACATCTCTTTTGCCTGTACATGCTGTCATTACCTGCTGAATTAAAAACAGGTCAAATACTGTGTCATTTAAGCCCAGTGCCCAGTCAGAGGCTCTCCCAAGAACAGTGTTGAGGATGGTAACAGACACCTACAAAAAGCGCAGACTCTGTGGAAGCCCCTGGTGAAGTTGCTTCCTGCGGGTCTTCCAGGGACTGCCTGGCTCCGATTCTGCAGTGGCCRCAGGGCTCGGCCTCAGGCACGTCCGGCAGCGCAGCCTCCTCCAGGACCTGGGGGAGCTCTTGGCATCGTGCACAACAGGGCTCAGAGGTWCCTGTGAACATATTTGCTGGAAGGTGTTTTATCACTTCCTACATTAAGACGTGTTCGCCAGCATGGAATTGTGTGTGAGCCCCTTCTATCAGCCTCCTAAAATATCCATTGTTTTGACTTTGAAATACAAACATCAGCAAACATTTCATGGAGAAGAATTCATTTGATCTCCAGCTTTAGGTCCGAATCATTCGTAGGAAGTGTACATGTTTGTGTGAAGTGTACACTTCTCCACAGTTACCAAAGAAAGCCAGATTTTCGAACTCATGCAGACTTAGACAATTCCAATATCAGCTTTGTTAGAAAAATACAGATTTTCCTGCACACTTAAAGACAGCACATGCCTCATAGCCCTAATCCCCATGATCAATTACACCACTCCGCAGTAGAAAATAACACCAAATCCTCAATGAAAAAGAATTTGATGACAATGGCAGTGATTCAAGTTTCAACTGTGAATGAAATTAACACTGGAGAGGGGAGCTTTCATACTGGATTCCCATAATCAAACTTCACTGTGCAAATACTGCTAGCGAGTGAAAGCAAACCTATGCAAAAACCCAACATTTAATTGCTTCATTTCCTCGCCCCAGATAGAGTGTGGGTTCTGGTTGCTCACCTGTCACCAGTCAATACTTCTCATGTTTTTCAAACAAAAACTGAGAAAAAGTTTATTACTTCATATACTTTGAGAAAAATACATCTGGTGTTCTTCTTCTTGTTATATTCTGAATCAGCTAACACTACAATAAAACTGCATCAGTTCCCTGAACTGAAAAGGTTCTGATGTGTCTGAAATACTGGTATTTTCATACAGTGCTAATGAAAACCATTCAAAGGTCTTGCCCTTTTCTTGAGCTGGAAAAACAAGTTCTCATTCCCTGTCAGTCTGGCAACTGTAGTGGCAGAAAACTTAAATTGCTGATTATTTTCTTTTCCAGACATACTTCTCCAACTATTTCCATTATACAACCCTTAATCAATACCCCATATATAAACCCTTTTTCACCATCAGCAGTCAATTCAGTATATGAGGCTGTTATCATTTGGCTGTGTTCTCCTACATGCACTTCTAGAATAAATAAATAACAAGCCCGCTTCCTTTCAGAAAGGAGAATCGGCAATTTCTTGATGTAGGAGAACATCAGCTCCTCTAGTTGTTGCTCAGGTCTTAGCAGAAACTTTGTGCAAGTAACAGATTTCTGATTTGTATCAGAGAGAGACAGTAATGGGGAGTTGTCACTGTTTATATCACATCATGAAAACATGGTGATAACGGCAAATTACTTTTTTTTTTTTTTTTTTTCAGCTTAGTTCAGAGCTTGAACTACACTACTGTGTAGTTTTGCAGATGTGCTTCACCCAGCAGCCAGCGTTTGTTACCTTTTCTCCCCGTGCGACACACGCTGGTGCTGATTTCAGCATTTTGCCTCCCACACTTCAGCACGCAGGTCTTCCCCTCTGAAACCTTCCATCCTCCCTCTTCACACCAGCTACTTTAACTGCCAACCAGGGGAGTCTTTCTAGATGCTCTAATACTTAGCATCTAACTCTTCCTGCATCATTTCAGGAAAAACATATTAAAGGACAGCCAACAAATCCCTCTTACTTAATCCTTTATGATTTGGTGAAAATCTACCAAGTGGCACAGGAAATACAAATCAAAACTTTCAGAAATCATCATTTTCTATGTT